TACATACAATATTCAAAACATATAAAAGAATAAAAAAAATATGATCAAAATTTAAAACAAAACATAATGAAATAAACATTTCAAAAATATTTAAAGTTACAGAATAATATTTAAAAAAAGTTATGAACAAAATAAAAACACAATAAAATCTACATTTTAAAAATGTTTTCATAAAATTTTACATATACAACAATATTTTACTGCTTTATAAAGTTACCTGTAGTTAAGGCTAGATTCTAATATTTTTCCTGAGTATGGTACCGAAAAAATCAATCTCCACGATGTAGTGAAACTTTGCAAAATTTGCACATATAACATGTTAAGCTTTTCTTCTTATTGGCGGCACATACACGACAGTCTCTGAGGCTTTAGTTTTGTGCCCCCTGTAGTAATTTTTTCTAATTTGTGTTTTTTTACATCTTTTGATAATCTCTCCGGAGGATCATTTCTATTGGACGCATAGATGTACTGGTACAGGATCATCTCTGTTTTCATGAGTAATTTCAGTAATCCATTCTTTTGCGACATCATGTAAAAATATCTTATACTTCTTTTTTGATTGTGGATTTAATGTTTTAAAAACCCTGAAAGCATTAACCCGGCACCTGCCACGTGGGGTACTACCAGCACCCCATAACACATTTTCACCAAATATTTCGTATTTCAAGTTTTGCAACACTGCTGCGCGTCATAGTAGCTTTCTATAATATTGTACAGCATAGATCTATTTGAGTTTGAAGTGGTTATTTAGTGGCATTCTGACCTTGTAGCTATAAAGTCGACTGGAGTGTCATCAGATCCCCATCTGGCAGTTTAAGTTTTAAATTTTTTTTTGTGTTTTTGATAAACAGGTTGGTATATTTACAGTTTTTATTGCAATAACTGATTTAAATTATTATATAGGCTGTATACTAAATAAATATTATTTTTTTTAGATATTTTACTTCACGCCCAATTTATTATGGCTTGGTACGAACAGGAACAAAACCGCTTGAGAGCTCTTCTAGAAGAGATGGAACAAGATGATATAGCAGAGATTGAGGATTCATCTGATTCTGAAGTAGATGCTACCCAGTTTAGCGACCACAATTCGGATTCAGAAATGTCAGCAGCTTCGGACGGCGAAGAATCTGTTTTAGATGCAAATACTGTTGTAGGTAAGGATGGGACTACAAAATGGAGAACTACAAGGGGGAATAGAAATGTTCGTACAAGATCGCAGAACCTTGTTGTTCATTTACCTGGTGTAAAACAGTGTGCAAAAAATTGTAAGACAATTTTGGAATGTTGGAACTTGCTCATAGATGAAAATATTCTTGAAATAATATTAAATTCTACAAACAAAAAACTTCAACAACAAACCGGTGATAAAAAAAAGCATAGTTATGAAACATGCATGGCTGAACTGAAGGCGCTGTTTGGTTTACTATATATTGCTGGGTCTATTCGTTCTAGACGTCAGAACATGGAGGATTTATGGTCAGAAGGTAGAGTGGGCATAGGCATTTTTAGAACAACAATGAGTCTCCATAGGTACTTCATGCTAATAAAATGCCTTCGATTTGACGACATAGACACACGCAGTGAAAGACGTAAAATTGACAAACTTGCTCCAATCCGTGATGTTTTTACAATTTTTCAAAATAACTGTGTAAACGTATATTCCATATCTGAATACTGCACTATTGATGAACAGCTGGTTTCTTTTAGAGGACGATGTTCATTTCGGCAATATATACCGAGTAAGCCAGCTAAGTATGGCATAAAAATATTTAGTATTGCCGATGCCAAAACATGGTACTCATTGACATTTGAAATATACGTAGGCCAACAACCTGAAGGATCTTATGCGGTATCAAACAGTGCAAATAACATAGTTATGCGGCTATCTAAGCCAATTTGGAATTCTGGTCGCAACATTACTGGAGATAATTGGTTCACAAGTGTTCCACTTGCCGTAGAATTGCTACAAAAGAAATTGACGTATGTCGGAACTATGCGTAAAAATAAAAGGGAGATACCTAAACAGTTTGTGGAAATTAAAAGAAGACCACTCAAAAGTTCAGAATTTGCATTTACCGACAATATGACAATTTTATCTTATATACCTAAGAGAAATAAAAATGTAATGATGTTATCGTCAATGCATTTAGAAGACGATTCTATTGATGAGAGCACAGGAGATAAGAATCTTCCAAATATAATTACATTTTACAACCAAACCAAGTCCGGCGTGGACAAGGTGGATGAGCTATGCGGTTCATATTCCACTGCCAGAACATGTCGAAGATGGCCATGTGTTGTATTTTTTAGAATGCTCGACATAGCTGGCATCAATAGCCACGTTATCCACACTGCGAATAATATTAACAACAAAACAATTGAACGGAGGATTTACCTGCAGGACTTAGGGTTCGATCTTGTGAAAGATTGGTTGAAAGTCAGATCAGCTAACTCACACATTCCGCGTACAATACGTGAGAAGGCAATAAAATATATTGGAGGCTCTACTGAATCAAACGAAACAACAGAACCGCCCAGAAAAAAGGCAAGGTGCTCTATTTGTCCAAGGAAAGATGACAAAAAAACAAACTTTTTCTGCGAAAAATGTTACCAACAGATGTGCCTAAATCACATGAAACATATTTGTGAAAAGTGTTTTAACCAAAAGGAAGAAGAACAAGAATCCGATGATAGCTGCTAATGAGTTTTACTTAATTTGTTTATAATAACTTTTTAGTTTTATTTTTTAACTTTTATAATATTAGTAGGTGTTAATAAAACATGTTTTTTTTATATTTTTGTATTACTCAGCCTATTATTTTGTTTATAAACACGTAGATCACAGAAAAGTTTTAAGGGGTACTATGAGCACCCCACGTGGCAGTTGACGTTTTGCAAAGCCACGTGGCAGGTGCCGGGTTAAATAGCGCGCAATTGATGAAAAACATGACAGCCGTTTTCGTCCATTTTTTGGTACGACGTACAATCGAGTAATACGATAAGTATTGGTCGGCGCAATCGACACCCTTCATATATTTGTTGTAGTCAACAACACATAATGGTTTCCAAATTCGCTCTTTTGTCGCCCAGTCAATATTGTGGCTTTCTACAATATTAGCTGAATGTATACTTGATATCATTCGAACAGGTCTTTTCGATTGCCAACATTGTAATAAAATGTTTTGGCGGCGACGAAATATAGATTCTCCCCTTGCTAGTTTAGCATTTTTCAAACAAAGAGGAAGGCCTCTGTTCAAGCGAATAGTGCCACAAGTTCGAAATCTATGTTGTAAAAGTAATTCACAAGTGGCAACACTATTATAATAATTGTCCATATATATGTGATGTCATAAGTGGGAATAGGGTTCCAGTAGATTTAAAATTGTTTCTTGTAATCGACTTCCTTCTCCACAGTACATACGAAAATTACAAATGTAACCAGTTCTAGCGTCACAAACCATTCTTATAAGTAATCCGTACTTTATAATTTTTGATGCATTATAAACTTTGAATGATAGGCGACCCCTCCATGGCATGATGCTTTCATCTAATGATAACTCTCTCTCGGGTTTGTAGACTTCCTGGAATTTAGGTAAGAAATAAGATATAATCGGGCGAATCTTTTTAAGGCGATCTCTGTCATCTCTGTTATCATTATTAGAGAAATGCAATGCATACCATATCTGTCTAAATCTATCCCTGCTCATTACTTCAGCAAAAATTGGAGTTTGTATCGTTTTTTCTGTAGACCAATATTCGTCTCTTGTGTCCTTACGAACTCGTCCCATTAGGAGAAGTAGTTCGAGCATTTTCTTTAATTCTACCACAGTCACATCTTTCCACTTCACAGATTTTGCTCTGTCTCTAAATAAATCTGAGTTTTGTGCGCGATACCGATTAGTTTCCATCACCATATATTCAAATAAATCATCTCCAATAAATAGCTTAACCACATCTACTACACTCTCCGAATTATTTGGCATTACAAAAACTCTACTGTGTCCTAAGAATTGTTCAATAATTGGCACATTATCAGTTTCTGACCAATCAAACACTTCGTTATCACTGTCTTCAGAGTCGCTGGATGGTATTGGCAAAACTCGATTTCTTCTAGGTCGAAATAATTCCTCGTCACTTTCACTGTCTAATTCAGGAAACTCCGCATCATGTGAAATCTCCGACAAGTTATCTGCATATACATCACTATCACTATCAGGATCCATTTTTATGAAATAGTAAAATTCAAATAAATTTATACCGTGAAAGGAAATTTTTGAAAACGATAAAAATACGAGTAAATGTTCTGATATAGTTATATGAGAACTGGACATGAACAACGAGTGACCAGATGTAAATTTTATATTCTTAAATTCATCACAAAAAAACTCGTAACTCGTTGTAACTCGTCTAAGAACACGTTGTACTACTATAGGAGTGATAAAGTATTATAATAAACGAAATCATAATAAACGAAATGAAACACAAACATAATATGAAGGGAATTTGAAAGACAAACAAATTTTATTATGATTACTTCGGATATTATGTCTAATGCGTTCCTAATAATAATACATACACCAATATACTGTGTCCGTACATTATATAAAACATTATTTTTACTTATGTGTCATTTAAAAGTGATGATTTTAAACGGGTACTAATACCTATCCCGCTTTTAAGCGGCAATGAGCGGAGCGGGTACTTGTACCTGCCCCGCTTATAAGTGGCAATCCGCCAAAGCGGGTACTAGTACCCGACCCGCTCATAATGTGTTAAGATAAGAAAAACGAACAAGACGACTAACAAAAAGGTCACTACACCCTATGTTCATTATTAATGAATGTATAGCAACATACAAGATATCACATGACAGTATCAATCAACCAGTCTAATAAATCTGATAAGTCTTAAAGGTTAAACATAAACTAATAACTAATTTGAAATAGGTCATAATATAGTTTGGAACATGTAAATAAAATGAATTGTTATAAACTTACTTATCTTTGTCATGCAGAGACAAATGAAATAAGGCTATTGTAGGATTAAACAATGTTAATCTACATCTAGCACATTCATATGGATTTGATTGATTTAATGGTTTAGTTGTAATACGAATAAAATCTGCATGCAAGTCATGATTTTGGTAACAAGATTCCACATTACATTGTTCACACAAATCTGTAACAAAGATATTTTGTAAAAATTCAATCTTGAAACTTATTTTTCATGCAACTATAACTTCTGATCTACTTAAAATAAAAACCTGCTCAGACTCTAATTTACTTAGAGTTAATTTTACAGTAGCAGTAAATCTGCAACTTCTTTCCTTATGTTCCGTATACCTGGGTAGGTAGGTATAAGTTACCTGAGCATGTCAGAAAGAAAACCAAATTTTAATAGCTAAAAATTACATTAAAAAATACTTACAAGATACTTTTGAGGTGCAATAATTAGGTTCTTCATGACTAAAAACAAATATAATGTATGTAGTTTTATATAAGGACTAATATAATAAAATAGGTATTTATTTAAATTAACAATATTTCAGAGTTACTATAGATTAATAAACTTCAATGAGTAAAATTTAAAAAATCTAAAAATATAGACTATTAATATAACAAAAACTATGTATTGCTGCAAGCAAATGAATGACCTTAAATATGCAAAAATTTGTTTATTTTTGGATAATCGTAATAATATTGGCTAAAACAATGCAGATAGGTACTACATTAAAATTATTAGTGAAGTAAAAAATTAAAAAATGCTGATCTGATACCTTTCTTCCAAATCAAACAGTTCATTATCAGAAAACTCTATAATTTCTCCCACAAATTCTAATTCCTCAACTTCATGTTTTATTTCAGATTGTTCAACTTTTGGCTGGATAGAAAATTGAAAATCTATAGCTTTTCCATCGAATTTGTCCAAAGTAGAAACATCATTATTAGAAAGTTCAAGTTTTACTGTTTTGGGTAATAAAAGGGCATCATCAATTGTGTCAGACTGTGCCATTATCTTTCTTATGATTTTATCATAAATAGTAAATAGTACAGTACTTATAGTAAACCTAAAAATCAACTATGATGTATTTGCAACTTCAAACCCAAACATCTTACTTAATGTATGGATAATAATAAAAAGTATAGGTCACAGTATATTGCTTATATATTAAGCAATACACTGTAGTTATCTTGGGTGCCCTAAAACGTCATTGGCCCTAAACAATACCGAATCATTATCCTTGCTAAAGAATTAGCATAATCTTTTAACATTATACCCCCCTAGTAAGGTAACTCCCATATAAAGTTTTGGAAGAGAGTTTCTAGCGCCAAATACGGACGGGCCGAAACTAATTTCATTTGGCGGCAAATTCAAAACATAAATTCAGAATTTTAGGCGGCAAATTCAAAAATATGCTCTGAATTTTAGGCGCCAAAATTCAAAAAGTATGTTTTTAATGGAAAGTAAATATAGTCATAAAATAAGAAATAAAAACTTATTCTAAGCCAGAAAATATATCCTCTCTATCCAAAAATATAGTATACACCTACACATTTTTATATATAAATGTATAACATAATATCTGATACAGAGAGAGTATATATTATGGTACAAGAAAGTTTTTATTTAATATTTTATGATTATATCTGTTTTCCATTACATTAACAAACCAAAGTCCCGAAAATAACAAAATAAAACACAAACATCCTGACACTTGTTTATTTGTATAATTTTCTTTAGTAAAGTATTGGCAACATATCCTCCTCCTCCTCCTTACTTAAGCCCTTGTTAAGGTGTGGGTGGGGACACTCTAAATATTGTTAACTTGCTGTCTCCATTGGCTGCAACCATTCTGTACCAGATGAACAACTTCGTGAAGGGATTTTTCCACCAATCTTCATTTAATCTTCCCATCACGTTGTGAGATCGTCATTTTGATATACAAATATAGATACCTCTATATTTATTAGCAATGATTTGTAGTAAGTTCCATACCTTCTAAAATACTTTTCCTTAAAGTACCATATGTAGATAATAAAGTGTAAACCCTAGCATGTCTGCGATCTTGCTCTTCACAATGATCACAAATTGGCATGTGACTCAATGTAACTGTTACTCAGAAGTAGAAGATCCATGAAAATCTAAAATAATGAAATATTATTAAAATTAAGAATGTATTGACTTTTTTATAAAATAAGGCCAATTTTAGGAATGCAATTAAAAGAGTCATAAGAGTTTTTTTTATAAAATAAGGCAATGTTTAGGAATGCAGTGATAAGAGTTAAGAGTTTTAATGAGTTTAAAATCTATACAGTATATAAATATAAGATTAATGTTAGTTAAGATTGAAAGGTAAATTAACTACAAACACAAAATAGTATCAAGTTTGTATTTACTAAAACTTTGGTATAATTAGGTGCTGTTCTTACCTGGTGCTTATAAAAATAAACTCCTAATCCTCAGAATGTTTAATAGCCGTTTGTCCAATAACTTTCACCCATCAACAAAAAATATTCTTGGGAAATACTATACCATTTTGTTAATGTACCTTTTTTAGCAGGTCTATTAGATATATAAAATTTGATGTATACCTACTGTTTTTATCGTCTATTTCTAAAATTTGGGATACGACTATTGTAAACAGTGTGGTGTAGAATTGTTTATTTTCCTCATAATAAATGTCAACCATTATGAAAACAAATCCATTTCATTTTTTGAGTTTGGAAAACAAAATCGACTGTTTGTGTAGTCGGTACAACCATGAACATAACATTTTTTTACCTTTTATTTTATTTTGTTCCATTTCAACGATGGTAAAACACAATTTTTACAATTAAGATGATAATAACCAAATCCAAACACAAATCTGAATTTGCAATATGGCGTCCCAATCTAAATTAAATTTTGCCACAGCACATGCGTCTCCACCTCCCACCTAACGTGACTAGTAGCGCCGCCGCCATTAAGAACGGATGGGCCCATGCAAAACGCTATCCCCTCCCGTCCTATTCTACTTACACTACATCTATGTACACTACTATGGGGTATGTATTGTGCACAATACCACACAATACATATATTTACATAACCAAACTTTTATATGATCAATCGTGATCGTGTTACTAAAATAAATACGGCAACACTGTGACGCGGTGCCTTGAACAGAGAACTAGCAGGAACTAGGATAGGAACACACCTTGAAGTTGAACAGAGAACATACGAACGTACACTTCATCTAATTTATATAACGACTTCCGTCATCGGCGTCATAGCCTATGACGTCATATGATACCAACACGAGATATTTATGCGATAGGTGTGTTCTTTTTTAGAATCACTTTACCGAGTACACTGGCATTACAGCCATTAGACATATTTTATTATATACGTGTAGAAATAATATTTAAAAATTTCTATTAATGTTAACTTAAAGAAATACACAATAATATGTTTTATTTAATTTGTATAAATCCATTATAAAGCGTTTTTATCAAGAACATTTGTTCGGAACACACTGTAACTGTAATAGAACGAAGGTCAAATTTTGGCATAAATTGGTAACACTTATTTGACAGTTGCGGTGTTGACACTTTTTCTACTTTATTATTTTGAATTTTAAAGTGAATATCTCTTATTTTATATTTTTAACTATTTAATAAAATCTGTTCTTTTTAGAACAAAATTGTTGTGTTTTATTTCAAAAATGCCACGTAGGAATTTAAATAATCGTTGTAAAGAGATGGTAGCTTCTTTGATTCATTATTTTGAACAGGAACGTGATAACAACGGCCCCATTCTACCCGTGACTGCTGTTAGAGAAGTATGTAAATGTATGTTTTGTATATTATTGTAGTTGCTTAAAATATACATTCTTGTTTTAGCGTGTAGCTGCAGCTTTAAATTTACATGTTTCAACTGTGAGTTCTATTTCTCAGGCCATAAAAACTAATACACTTATATCACCGCCCAAAAAACGTACCAGGTCTAAGACAGTTACAAATACTAATTTAATAAATACAATCGAAATTCGTAATACAATTTACAGTATGTATGAACGAAGTAAGTATACTTTTCGTTAGATATCATAAAGTGTATTAAGAGCGCAGGCGCAAAATTTCAGATGAACATTTTTTAAATGCATTCATTTTTTTCGAATCCTGAGAAAACTATTTTTGAAAAATTTAAATCCAGAACGAAAAACTACATTATCACCGTAGGCCGAAAGTAAATAACAACACACAAGAAATTTCTTTTGAATGAATTTTTTTCTTTTCTTTGCGCATATGAAACGTATTAAAATAAACGTAGAAGATTTCAGGAACTTTCGGCACACAATGAATGGTTTAAGGGCAGTCAGTCCGAAAATTCAATGTCTTGTTTTTTTTTGAATTATGGTTGAAAATTATTTTCTGAAATCTTCTCTTTATACTATATATCACACATTATAGTAGAAAATATCCATGGTTATAAAATTATTTGTTTTTTCAAATATCTCTGTATCCTTAGATGATAAAAGATCCAAATTTTACAGTGGTCGTAGATAGATAATATCAAATTCCTGGTAAAATTTTATTGAAACATCTACAAAAACAAGTAAAATAAAATCTAAACTTTTTTGAGTTTTTTTTGTATTTTTAAATAAATGTTTCTTACTCTTTACAAAAACCTACGCAGAACTAAACAATACATCTGGGGGATATGTGATATAATGTTAACATTGTTGTTAAATGGGAGTTTGGATGCCCTTAAAGGCATTGGCTTTAAATTTTGTACCTAAACCCATCAAATTTAATTCTTTTCAGAAGAACATGTGACTTTGGACTCTCTATCGATTCAACTAAAGGAAAAAAAAACTGTTTAGTGGATGTCGTGCGTCACTCAGTACTGTACTGAATGACATTGGTTTCAAATGGATCAAAGATGATCCAAGACGAGGACTGATGGAACAGTCTCATATTGCTGCGAAGAGAGCTGAATTTTTAAGACTGTATCAAAATTATAAAGATGAAGGTCTATATAAGTTTGTTTTTATAGATGAAACTTGGATTTTTCAGAATGGATCTATATGTCGCTCTTGGCAAGATGACAATAAAAGAAGCGTACGATCTATTAAAACTGATGGAAAACGGTAATAATATTTAATCATATTGAAAAAGTAAAGGTGTTAAATCAATTCTTTTTGTAGTTACATTATTCTTCATGCTGGTAATGAAAATGGCTTCATTGAGGGTGCAGAGGCTATATTTTCCTCTAAATCGGCTTTAATGGACTACCATGGGGAAATGAATCAAGAAAATTTTTTATTGTGGTTTGAAAATCAATTATTAAAAAGTTTGACTGAACCATCCCTCATTATAATGGATAATGCTCCATACCATAACATGTTGTTGGAAAAAGCACCAAACACATCTTCAACAAAGAGTGACATAAAAGTTTGGTTAACTAACAAAAAACTACCTTTTAATGAGACAATGTTGAGAAACGAGCTTTTGCAGATTGTTGCGCAGTAAGTACCCCTAATAAGAGTTTAGTTCAGGTTATCATATTTATTTTTAGAAACAAACCACCTCCAAAATACATTGTGGATGATTTAGCAGAACAATATGGCCATAAAATATTACGTTTGCCACCATACCACTGCATTTTCAATGCAATAGAATTAATATGGGGAACTGCCAAAACTTATTATAATAAACATGTTGGTAGAGATGGCTATAAAGAATGTGATGCTTTAAACATGTGGAAAGAAGCTCTACAAACTATTACACCTCAGAAATGGCAAAATTCTATTAGACATACAGAAGATATAATTAAACAGTGGTATGAAAGAGAACATATAATAGATAGACAGGAAATTCTACCTATTATAATTAATATAAATGGCGACAGTGACTCCAGTAGCATCTGTGAGATGGACAGTGATTAGTAAGTAAAACACCTTATGGCTCTTGAGCATTAAAATTAAGATTCATTTTTTTTAGATTTAAACTGATGATTATACAAACCTTCTCGAAAACAACCATAAGATGGATGGGGAACATATAAGAAAGACTAAAATCTGAAAACAGAAGCATGAACTAGTGTGTAACTTTTAGGCACCACACTTTTTTACATTATTTACAAATTATATAAAACCGTCATAATCTGCACATGGACTACCTAAGCTCTGACGTCACAATGGATGAGGCTTAGAATTCCTGTGTGTTTGTCCCAGTAGCGGTTGGAAATATTTTTTTACAA